CCTTTCGTAGAAACTGTCAATAAAAATTCTCCCTCGAAGGAAACTGCGGAACAAAGAGAATCAGACAATATGGATGGTAGTATTAGTGAAAGAGAACTAAGTGCGAGAAGTAAGTCTCGTAAAATGATGGTATTTGACCCTGAAACCGGCTGCTATCGGAAAAAATCTGAAAATGAAGACCAGGAAAATACATTTACTGAGAGCAAAAAGGAAAGAGTCGAATATCGGTTTCGTCTTCGCTCAGACGAGAAGCCTGAGAAAGCAACAGACGCGAAAGATTTGTCTTCAAAACCGGACAAGGCATCCGAAGACATTCAGGTTATTAGAACTGAGCAAAGCGTTACTATAAATGGCAAAAATAAGTCGAGAGGCGATGAAGGAGATGAAGAGGATCTTAAGAAAGCTGGCGAAATTATGAAAGCTAAGTTTGAAAAAGGTCGAAAGAAATTCGAGGAAGAACCCTTTGAAAGGGAACGGAATGATCCTAAAACCGTGAGAACGGCGAGGCAATCCTCTGACGATTCACTGGAGGAGAAGATCAAAGAAATGGAGAAAAGACGAGAACGGCTTTTTCTTAAAAGACCGTCCATGGAATTGGAGAAGAGAAGGTCTTCTGATGAGCAAAAGGATCTTTCTCCGAGAGGGGAGGCCGAGAGTCATAGAGAAGAGTCAAAGAGCCCTGCAGATGATACTGTCAAGAGACCTAGAAGTCGAAGCGAGCGCACCAAACGGCGCTTAACAGCTGAAGAGATGAGCTTGAAGAAGACCACAAGCGAGGAAGACGTAGCAGAGCGACGTCGGAGTAGTTCTGGATCTGCTAAGGTACCGTAAATCCTCCTTTTCATGCAAGGGAAGAAAGTTATTTTCATAACTTTTAAGCCCCCTCTCTTTTAACCCCCCAACTCCTCCTTCTATTAAGCAACCCCCTCAAAATGGTCTTGAAACAAATAAGCCCCCCAAGGGGGGGGAGTTAATAGAAGACAGTGGCGGATCCAGGGGAGGGGCGCGCGGGACCCGCCCCTCCCCCCTTATTTTTAGACCAACCACCCCCCTTTTCTAAGGGTCTGGATGAGGCACTGGAAGATATACGGTTCACAATCACCTTAAACTCTAGCTGGTCAAACACTTGTCACAACATTGGGCTTAACATTTTAACAACGTAGTGTCCAAGAGTGAAATAACTGAAAAACCTTTGAATTCCCAAAGAACGGTAATAAAATCGAGTCGCTTATTTTTCTATTTCACTCTGCCAGGTTCCAAAGACAGAGGAAAGAATAACAGAAACAAAGAAAGAAACTTTCCGGATCGAACTAGACCGCTCAAACAGTAAACCCGAAGACGAGGTTTTCGTGACACGGGAAAAACCGGTTGAGGCAGGTTCTATAGATCTCATGAGCTGGGAAGATGACTCCACCGACGGTACAACCCCTGTCAAGGACAAGGATCATAATACAGAGTTTAGAAAACGGGCCGACAGCANTGAAACCGGCTGCTATCGGAAAAAATCTGAAAATGAAGACCAGGAAAATACATTTACTGAGAGCAAAAAGGAAAGAGTCGAATATCGGTTTCGTCTTCGCTCAGACGAGAAGCCTGAGAAAGCAACAGACGCGAAAGATTTGTCTTCAAAACCGGACAAGGCATCCGAAGACATTCAGGTTATTAGAACTGAGCAAAGCGTTACTATAAATGGCAAAAATAAGTCGAGAGGCGATGAAGGAGATGAAGAGGATCTTAAGAAAGCTGGCGAAATTATGAAAGCTAAGTTTGAAAAAGGTCGAAAGAAATTCGAGGAAGAACCCTTTGAAAGGGAACGGAATGATCCTAAAACCGTGAGAACGGCGAGGCAATCCTCTGACGATTCACTGGAGGAGAAGATCAAAGAAATGGAGAAAAGACGAGAACGGCTTTTTCTTAAAAGACCGTCCATGGAATTGGAGAAGAGAAGGTCTTCTGATGAGCAAAAGGATCTTTCTCCGAGAGGGGAGGCCGAGAGTCATAGAGAAGAGTCAAAGAGCCCTGCAGATGATACTGTCAAGAGACCTAGAAGTCGAAGCGAGCGCACCAAACGGCGCTTAACAGCTGAAGAGATGAGCTTGAAGAAGACCACAAGCGAGGAAGACGTAGCAGAGCGACGTCGGAGTAGTTCTGGATCTGCTAAGGTACCGTAAATCCTCCTTTTCATGCAAGGGAAGAAAGTTATTTTCATAACTTTTAAGCCCCCTCTCTTTTAACCCCCCAACTCCTCCTTCTATTAAGCAACCCCCTCAAAATGGTCTTGAAACAAATAAGCCCCCCAAGGGGGGGGAGTTAATAGAAGACAGTGGCGGATCCAGGGGAGGGGCGCGCGGGACCCGCCCCTCCCCCCTTATTTTTAGACCAACCACCCCCCTTTTCTAAGGGTCTGGATGAGGCACTGGAAGATATACGGTTCACAATCACCTTAAACTCTAGCTGGTCAAACACTTGTCACAACATTGGGCTTAACATTTTAACAACGTAGTGTCCAAGAGTGAAATAACTGAAAAACCTTTGAATTCCCAAAGAACGGTAATAAAATCGAGTCGCTTATTTTTCTATTTCACTCTGCCAGGTTCCAAAGACAGAGGAAAGAATAACAGAAACAAAGAAAGAAACTTTCCGGATCGAACTAGACCGCTCAAACAGTAAACCCGAAGACGAGGTTTTCGTGACACGGGAAAAACCGGTTGAGGCAGGTTCTATAGATCTCATGAGCTGGGAAGATGACTCCACCGACGGTACAACCCCTGTCAAGGACAAGGATCATAATACAGAGTTTAGAAAACGGGCCGACAGCACGGAAGGCGAGACGTTTCCAAAGGCAGGGAAATTGGTAGAGATAGAAGCGCCTATTAGTGTTACTCCGAAGACAAAGGTCGAGAGTACTCCAGATACAACAGGAGCCATTTTGGATCTTGACGAGGTAGGTAATCGTTCTGTTGATCACATGGTGAGAAAGAGTGGTGGCCTGGGGCTGGCAATCCTCGGTAATTCGATCAAGCTTGTTCCTCTGGCTTTTTCCCCTCAGAGCTGTATTCTGTATGCACTCAAGGTCAAGGTGTTTATAGTTTTGAGAACTATACCATGAAACTACTGAAACTATGACTTGGCAAAGCTGTGGACTGGTATTTTCACTACCCCTGTTTTTAAGGTTTTGATTTTAAAGATAGCCCAGGGTTAGAGCGCATTTTATATTCATATATGAAACCTTTTAAGACTGAATATTGTCAAGCGCTCTTGGGATAAGGTCGAGCTGGGGAAAATCTAAATCGAAGCTATCCTTAAATTGTTTACGCGTTTTGTACATACCGTAAAATTCCGAAAATAATACCTAGGGCTTATATTTTTCAAAGGCCCTTTTTGAGGGGCTTATTTTTGGAGGGGCCTATATTCAGAGGGCCTTATCTACGGAGGGAAATTTGCGTTTCAAAATCGATCGGGCTAGACTTATAGTTGGAAGGAAATTTACCGTTTTTGCTTTATTTTACTTTGTATTGAGGGCAATTTCCAAGTACAAGCCCCCCGGGGGTTGGAGGGCTTATATTTGAAGGGGCGATTTAACTGAGGGTTTTTTGCGTTACGAGTTTAGGGGCTTGAGGGGCTTATACACGGACGGGCTTATTTTCGGAATTTTACGGTGTCATAACTTTCAATTCTCTTTCCACAACTGTATAAACTGATTCTAACAACGTTGGGAAGTTTGTACAGAAAAACGCTCAAATTACCTTTTTTCGTTTTCATTTGCTAAGGGTACAATATAATTTTGCTTTTCACTTCACATAAGAGTGAGGCTTGTTTTGATAAAAATTCAATATACTACAGCTTTATCGAAGTGTTTAAACTAATCTTTTGTAATACCTATGAGCCTTGCAAATGTCCATTACAATGCAAGTTCAATTAAGGTCCGCTGGTTTAACACAATAAGCACCACGTCTTGATGCATGTTGAATACGACTACCGATTTGCTTAATTTACATAAGATTCCAACTTTAACTTAGCTATGGTGGAATCAGCATCCTTTGCTCAACATACGGCTGTATAAGAATTTCTTCACTTTAATTGTGTTAACAGGACACTAACATGTCTACACCTGTTCTGGAATCTATCTCCACGTGGGACAATAGAGCTCGTGCAAGCAACACGGCGGACGAGGACAGAAGACGCCGCGAGCTGGAACATGAAGAAAGAAAGCGAAGAATAGAGGAACGCCAGCGAGCCGCAAAAGAACTCAAAGCGAAGAGAAAATCCGGTAGTGACTTTGATGAAAGTACCAGAACCGAGGAACCTGCTCGAGAAATGACGATGAAAGAGAAACGGCGTTCTTTGGTTGATATGTGGGAATCCTTTAGCGAGCCTCAAAGCACTGTCATCTCTTTTGAAGAAACTGAACCGAAACCCACTCAGCAACGCAAAAAGGTTTTAGTGCGAGAAAATAGGACTATATCGGTAAGTAGGACGTAAATAGGCTGCAATCTTAAACCTCTGGGAGAAATTAAAACTCTCGAGGTCCAACAGGCTCCTTTAATTAAAACTTGTAAAACTACCGGGCAATGATCAGGTCCGCTGAGTACCGGTCGAGGCAAGTAAGGGTGCGACTGAAGGTGTTTGGATTAGGGTTAGGTTTTGGGCTACACTAGTCACAACTTTTGAAAACCTGCCGATCAGCAAACATATACTCCAGACTGATCTCCATACAGTTTTCTTAAAGAACTAACAAGAGAATTTATAAAAGATCAAAGTATTTTCCTTTAAGTAATCATTTCAATAATTCTCTTAGCCATTTCTTGTGATGATCTATTGATATTGTCAGAGAAAGAGTTTAACTCTACCCTGATCTTCCTGGATCAAAGGGCCTCTGCTCGCAGGGTATTAACTCTCCAGACCAGGAAAATATTTCACTGAAGCAATCGAAATAAAAAACAAATATATGTATTAGCATATTATGATTAAATTATAAAATTAAAAGATACAATGTATACGAAGAAAAAAAGTACTAAATGTAAGGGGATCTACGAAATTAGAGCTTCCTTTGGGGGGCGAGTTTATTTCTAACACTTTTTGATACATTTCTAAATAGCCTTAGCTGGTTGATTTGAGTCTTTTACCAATATTACTTTGTTTGTCGTTCTTTTTCTCATTCAATTAATTCATTCGTGTGTTTTCTTTTTTGTCAAAATAAACTTGGTTCTTCGGCGGATGAAGAACGACAATGTCCAATCCATTGGGAAAGTTCTTTTTTAAGTAATTCTATAAAATAACAAACTGTGAATATCCGATCGTTGAAGGTCATCTGTCGATGAGCAGGCAAGACACCATTGTTCAAAATTTATGCGAGAACACAAAGAAAATATAAATTTTGCAGCGATTAATTTGTGTTTTCGTTTCTTCGGCTTATGCTTCTGACATGTTTCAGTGCTTTTTCAAGGTTTGTTCTCAAGTACAATGATAATTTCAACTTCTTACTTACTCTTTACTTGTTACTCTTGATGTTTAAACGGTCTGCAGGTCTTTTAAGAACTTATTGTCTAGTATTCAAATATCGAAATATCCGTATCACATGGAAATGTCTGAAAGAGAGCCACAATGAATGAAAGATCAAGTGGGATCGAAAGTGGGAGGGAACTCAGTTACCTGTTTAGATATCAGATTTATTTTCCACCAAACGTCTTCTTAATCAATATCTGAGATCCTCTTGTAAATATTCACTGATTTATCAAGAGGCTCTTGAGAAAAAAATTTACATAGTAACACGCATGTCTCGGGAGAATTGATTACATTTTCGTGCAACCCGTTGTAGCGGGCGGTAAAAGAAAGTCGCTTAACAGGCGGAATTTTCAGTGCTTACAAACCTTGTTTTTCTGCTTAGTTTGACTCTGCAGAAGATAACAACAACGGCATAGACATGGAGCTCGATGACGACGAGAAATTTACCTCGAGTAGGCCTATTCCTGCGACAAGGAAAAAGAAATTGAGTGAAGAAGAGCAGAGATGGGAAACTGCAGAAAATTTCCAGCCAGGACGTCTTCAGAAAACTGTATTTCATAGTTTGTCGGAATCTGAACCAGCGATGGAGGAGCCGAAGGCCAAGCCAAGAAAAGGACCAAGTAGATATGACTGGATGAAAGGCGAGAGCTACGAGGACCAAGAAGCATTGGTCCCGACCAAACTCAAAATCGACTGGCAAAACAACCAGGCTACCGATGAAAGGTTAGAAAGCGTGAATTGTTTGTATCATTGAATATCGCTTCGTAGTGACCCGGCATGGGGTAAATAAGTCGCTAAAACGGTCACGATCATTTAATCGTGGTTCCGTTTTGTTTTAATTTGTGGCGATCGATACGCCATGTTTCTTTAGTGCATGTCTCAGCAAGACCAATATGTGACGAATAATGCCGGGTTACGTAAAATAGCACGAACTGTTGGTTCAGGGATTTAGCATGAATTCCTCAGTCGATTTGCGGTTTCGTCGGTCAAAATTGTAAAATTTTAATGATCTGTTTTCTGCAATTAAATTTTTACGTAAGCGATGATACAATGGTAATATCTTTGGCATTCCGAAATTTGCCATACCTAATGAACAACGGGACTTTTTCGGAGTTTATTAAGCGACGATAAATTTACAATGCAAAATACTGGAAGTTCTGTAGCCTTAATTCACAATTCTTTGTGTGATAAATTCAGTGCAATATGGTACATAAAAAATAGGATTAAAAGTATGATAGGCGACCTTTTGTATTTGTGTTTAACAAGTTTCAAATTTTGTTTTTGTTTTTTGACAGCACCGAACTTAAACGTAGTCACGCACTCCATTGTTACATGTAACGCATTTCTCTGTTCAGTTATGTTTTTTTTTGCGATCGATATAAATCTTGATATTGGGCGCTAGTTTTCGTTACGCTTGGATCATCCGTTAAAAGGCAAAATGAAACGTAATCCATCCTTTGCAAAAGAATACGAAAAAGACTGACTGGCCGCACATCGCGCGTTTCCAACTGGTCACTATGTCTCAGTTTCACCGGTTTTGGTTTATTTCTCATAGTATTCTGTCACAAGAAAATAACACTGAATTTTGTTCTTTTTTTCTCTCTTTTGGTTTAGCGGAGATAAGGTTACAGGAAGTCAGCCAAAGGTACTATTGTTATTATTTTCATTATTATTTTTTAAAGAGAAATTCCATGGAGAAACCATCCTCGGAGACCCAGGGGCAGATAGTGGGGGCGAGGGAAAGTCTAAACGGGCGGGAAAATATGGCACGAAGAAAAGTAAAGAACGGCCAGAAGAGCGAACTAAAAAACTTATCAAAACAGTATTCCAAAAACGTGACAGTGTTCCACCACTATCCACCTCCCCTTTGGGGGATAGTTGTACAAGGCCCATGTTAGGTAATTCGGATTCCGGCATTTGTGTAATTTTTTCCTCTTTTTTTGGAATGTGGAATCCTGGGCTTTGGACTCCGGAATTAAGCTCAAGGAAACCGGAATCGTACTAACGATTGGAATCCGGAGTCTACAGTGTGAAAATCCAGAGTCCAAGACCGTCTTTCATAACACAGGCCTGTATATCCCCTATAAGGTGACTGCCCTGCTTTGTGGAAAATCTATTTAGGGTTTTTTACCTTGGACAAAAGATTATTCGTTGATGCATTTTTGACGTCTTGCTTCCGTGATCATTCCAGCCAGCGCCACGGCAGATGGAGACCAAAACCGTAAGTCGGGACTCGCAAAGCAGCAGTGATGATAGCGAGAGTGAAAGTGAGGGCGAAAGCAAGAGTGAGGAGGAGGAAAGAAAACCACGAATTGACACTGATGAAAATCATAAGCTCACTGAAGAAGAAAAGCAGTGGGAAAGTGCCGGACATTTCCAGCCCAAAAAGTTGAATAACGCTCTGATGGCGAGCTTCCTTCAAGGTGATTCTGGTAATGTTGTACCTATGCCTAAGAAGCCACACGAAGCACCAAAGAGACCTCCCCAGATGAGCCCTGAACAAAGAGTAGAAGCACCGATAAAGGCCCCAAAGGATGAAGTTGAAATAGAAAAGATAAGGTAAGGTGTTTTCTACCTGTAGTTCAAACCACCTCGGGAATGCTCTTACCGTAAATGATCGATTAAGCGCCGCGGCGCTTATTTCATTTTCCCTGCTATAGGTGCGGCACTTATTCGAGAGTGGCGCTTATTTCAACTACGGGTAATTTGTAAATACCTCTATTAGCGCTGCGGCGCTTATTCGAGTGCGGCGCTTAATCCATCATTTACGGTAAGCTTCCGTTACACCTTAGAATATCATCCACAGTCACAAAAGAATTATATATCCACCTTGTACAGCGTAATAAAAGTCAGCATAGGAAAGTACTGCTTTGTAGCTTTTTTTTTCTTTTTTCATGTCACCCCCTTTAAGGGAATCCGGATTCCGGTATCCCGGGATTTTTTTGCTTATGGAATCTGTAATCCGAGAAAATTTTCACTTGTGCAATTCGGATCCGGAGAATTTTGTTTGTGGGATCCGGAATCACGGGCTTTGAAATTCGTTATTAAGCTCAAGGAATTCGGAATCCCACTAACGATTGCAATCCGAAATCCAATACCTGGAGTCCAATCCATGGCGTAGAATCCAGAAAGCAAGACTGTCTTGGAGCGCTTTGTACGGAAATTTCGGTGAAAAATATCCATCAAATGGTTCTGGTTTTTTTTCGGGATTGAGTTGTATTATTTACAAAATACCGGTAAATTTTTCGCTTTCTCTCGACATGAAGCCTGGCACTGGTAATCCAAACAAATGGTACAGAAAATTCGGTCGTTTCGGTAGAAACGGGGAAAAGGTAATACCTCGAAAGGTTCGGTTCTTCCGGGAGAATTCCACCGGGATGAACTGTTCCATTTGAATTCTCCCCGGAATTTCCGGGTTTTCCATACAAATGGGAAGTGCTCTTGGATTCCGTTATAATTACATGCGGCGATTGAAGGTCACACTCGAGGATATTTAACTCAAACTTATGCAGCGCATTAAACATTACCACCAGAAAGAACTGGTCATTTACTGTTAGTGAGGTGGTACAAGAAGTAACGAGAACCCTAGACTCAGAAAAAAGAGCCAACGTGTACAAAATAAATAATAGCTTTCTCCGTTTATGTTAATAGGGAATTCGGAGTACCATGACCGCGAAAGCGACGCTTAAAAAAATGAATTCGCGTGTTCTCCATCTTCATCGCGGTTATTCGTAATCACTTACTTTGCCAAATGTAGGCGAACTTTCCTGGAGTTGGATTCCTAAGAACCACATCCAAGTTTGAAGAGAAAGGAAATTTCGTCGTCGTTTGCACATGTTTACCGTCCTTCACAAAACATGAAAATAGGCATTTTCACGTCGAATTCGTGAAATGTGAAAAGTGTGCTGCACGTGCAAAGTTGTTGAGTTTGTTTAAAAGGTCAAATGAAAAAAAATAGTCTCGTCTCCGCCCGCTTCATTTTTGGGGTCGCTTCCCTTTTTTTATTTTTTGGTTACACTCAGGAACAGCAGTCCTTCGTAACAGACGTAACTTTTCATAAACGAAGCATTTATTTAATCATACTGAATCCTATATTGGCGCTTTTAATGCATGCTTCCTATTGAGATATATCGTACGACGCATCATGTTGTTTAAAACGTGTATAAAAATATACCAAATTTGTGTCTAACAAATAAACAGTATGACGTTTCATTTATTGATATTTCACTGCAGAACTCCAGTTTATCCCTAGGGGAGGATTAGAAGGCATTCAGTTATTGGCAATGGTAAAGAAGTCGGAAATAACTAAAGAAAGCGCCCGTTCGCATTCTTTTTAAAAGAATCCGGACAAGAAACATTTTTTTTACTTGGCCTTAAACCTATAATTGTTTTTTTGACTTTCTCATGGCCGGCGCCGTCTAAGGATTGATAGTTTTCATTGACGCGTATAATCCTTATTTTATTGTTACTTCCGTTGTAGCCCTGTAAACGAAGAAAAGGCAGAAACAGAGGTAAGAAAAATCTTGCAGGTCTGTTTAAAGTTGGGGTAGTTTAACGATTATTGAAATCGGGGGGGGAGGGGTGGAGGTTAAGTGGTGCTGGATTACTGACACCAAGAGCTAAATTCAAGTCTTTCCTCAAGACCTCAGTGCAATTTGAAAGGTCTGAATTAAAGAACCGCCCTGCAAGGCGGGATACCTGTAGACTGCAAAACAGTCCGTATTTTTGCGTGTTCAAATACGCGCGAACGGTCAAACAAAAGGTCTGGAGCGAGACTGAAAACAGACAACGAGATGCGTGAGACTCTAACGTTATTCTTACGCTACGCTAAACCGATTTTGAGACAAAAAACCGACTGTTTTCCAGTCTAGGATACCTGTGATTGAAGTCTGTTTGGGCGCCATAACTTGAAGCTCTTGCTCTGACTAATGCCCAGTTTACATGGAGGTGGGGGACCTGTCCATATAATCTCTCATTTTAATTTGATCACGTTTACATGATAGGTGGGGTGAGCTCACCTATCTGGGGCCCCCGCCTCCATGTAAACACGCCCTAAGATTACATGTAAAGGAGGGTTATTTTTTTACCCCACCTACGCGGGTTACCCCACCTACCTGGGGTACCCCATCTCCATGTAAACAGGCCCTAAGAAGTGACAACTAAAGTTTTTGCTGTTACTCGAGCATGACAAGTTCCCTCGGCTGCTTGTAAAAGGCACGTTTATTTTTCACGTTTGCGCTTTTTCTCTGCCTTGTGCCCGTGTTTGTGTAAAGTACGGAGATGTGCTGGGCTTTTAATGAAATAAATGATGAAATGATTATCGTAACGGTAACCTGTAAAATAGCAATTGTCAACTAAACAGTAACTTGTTCATTAAAATTCTAAGCTATGCATTGTCNATGGAGGTGGGGGACCTGTCCATATAATCTCTCATTTTAATTTGATCACGTTTACATGATAGGTGGGGTGAGCTCACCTATCTGGGGCCCCCGCCTCCATGTAAACACGCCCTAAGATTACATGTAAAGGAAGGTTATTTTTTTACCCCACCTACGCGGGTTACCCCACCTACCTGGGGTACCCCATCTCCATGTAAACAGGCCCTAAGAAGTGACAACTAAAGTTTTTGCTGTTACTCGAGCATGACAAGTTCCCTCGGCTGCTTGTAAAAGGCACGTTTATTTTTCACGTTTGCGCTTTTTCTCTGCCTTGTGCCCGTGTTTGTGTAAAGTACGGAGATGTGCTGGGCTTTTAATGAAATAAATGATGAAATGATTATCGTAACGGTAACCTGTAAAATAGCAATTGTCAACTAAACAGTAACTTGTTCATTAAAATTCTAAGCTATGCATTGTCGCCAATGCGTGACGTGGCTCGCGATTTTGTGTGCTATATCGCGCATATGCTGTGGTATTTTGCTCTGTTTCGTGAGTGATCAACTTCTGTTAAAAACAAAATACCTCTTGTAAAAGACTGAATACCAGTAGTGGTCACTCGGTGGTACCTGTACTTAACACATGTTTGCCATATATTCGTCAGTCATGTTATGACTAAACAATCTGTTTCTTGTGGCTGAATTAGTTTACATTCTTGACGGTTCTGTTCTTAGGCTCAAATAGTTGTTCTATTGCTTTGTCTTGTATGTATGGCTACCTAAATATAACCTTGAGTTAAACGTTGTTCATCTCCAGCAACTCTGCCCTACTGTGTGCTGTATATCTTAAGCGCTCTTCATCTCTAACGTGCTTCAAAGCTGGTATTGCTGTGCTCCAGTAGGTGAATAAGCCCGTTCAAAAACAAGGGACCTTTGTACTCACCTTTTTGACCAGAAAATTAACACCTTGCATACCTGTCTATCGGTCTTCCATATGAAATAGAATCATCCTTTCTTTCCCTCTAAAAACGTCCTAAAGCTAAACTGTATCCATAAAGTTGAAATAGAAAAGATAAGGTAAGGTGTTTTCTACCTGTAGTTCAAACCACCTCGGGAATGCTCTTACCGTAAATGATCGATTAAGCGCCGCGGCGCTTATTTCATTTTCCCTGCTATAGGTGCGGCACTTATTCGAGAGTGGCGCTTATTTCAACTACGGGTAATTTGTAAATACCTCTATTAGCGCTGCGGCGCTTATTCGAGTGCGGCGCTTAATCCATCATTTACGGTAAGCTTCCGTTACACCTTAGAATATCATCCACAGTCACAAAAGAATTATATATCCACCTTGTACAGCGTAATAAAAGTCAGCATAGGAAAGTACTGCTTTGTAGCTTTTTTTTTCTTTTTTCATGTCACCCCCTTTAAGGGAATCCGGATTCCGGTATCCCGGGATTTTTTTGCTTATGGAATCTGTAATCCGAGAAAATTTTCACTTGTGCAATTCGGATCCGGAGAATTTTGTTTGTGGGATCCGGAATCACGGGCTTTGAAATTCGTTATTAAGCTCAAGGAATTCGGAATCCCACTAACGATTGCAATCCGAAATCCAATACCTGGAGTCCAATCCATGGCGTAGAATCCAGAAAGCAAGACTGTCTTGGAGCGCTTTGTACGGAAATTTCGGTGAAAAATATCCATCAAATGGTTCTGGTTTTTTTTCGGGATTGAGTTGTATTATTTACAAAATACCGGTAAATTTTTCGCTTTCTCTCGACATGAAGCCTGGCACTGGTAATCCAAACAAATGGTACAGAAAATTCGGTCGTTTCGGTAGAAACGGGGAAAAGGTAATACCTCGAAAGGTTCGGTTCTTCCGGGAGAATTCCACCGGGATGAACTGTTCCATTTGAATTCTCCCCGGAATTTCCGGGTTTTCCATACAAATGGGAAGTGCTCTTGGATTCCGTTATAATTACATGCGGCGATTGAAGGTCACACTCGAGGATATTTAACTCAAACTTATGCAGCGCATTAAACATTACCACCAGAAAGAACTGGTCATTTACTGTTAGTGAGGTGGTACAAGAAGTAAC